GTTCATTTAATTTAAGTCATACATGGTTACCTATGCTAAAATCTGAAGTAGACCAAAGAAACATAAACCCAAATTAAATGTACACCAAAATTATTAATTAACATTACTTTTATTAATTTAAACAATGAGATTAAGTCAAAGTCACATAACTGACAATTTGCACAAACGAATTATCAGAGCGAATTTTCATATATTGTATTATCCTGCTATTGTTACACAATTTATTAACGTACTCTTTTTTAGGTTCATTTAGGTTCTTTTGATAACGATAGCAGAAAATAGCTATCGAAACGTCAAGGAAATTTTTTAAATTAATTTCTCTACTAATTGGAATTTTCTCTTACAGCTTGAGCCTAAGTGTGTCGCAGGATACCCTCTAGGTGATAGTTCTTGATTACTTTTTGATAAATACTTCGTTCTTATTGCGAAATAGGAGCACTATTTATCAATCTGTAATAAAAGACGTGAGGAAATTATTTTTTAACGTCTTTCTTAAAGACAAAAATGTTTGAGGCGAAATACCCAAAAAGAAGTTTGTAAAAAATGAATCCGCCTCAACAATATAGAACTTATCTACAAGATTCAAGGTGTTTTGTTTCCGCCCAAAAAGTATCTATACATTTTTATTAGAATCAACGGTTTTTTCGGTTAAATCCATTGACTGTAATCCGAGCCCTTTACCCGAAAATGACAAACAAAAAAAAAACAATTTATTAACATACTCTTTTTTAGGTTCCTTTAGGTTCTTTTGATAACGATAGCAGAAAATAGCTATCGAAACGTCAAGGAAATTTTTTTAAAAATACCCAAAAAGAAGTTTGTACAAAAATGAATCCGCTTCAACAATATAGAACTTATCTTTAACCACTGGTTGCGTTAGTGTAGTTTTCCAAAAAAAAATCGAAAACAACCAGTTAAAGAGCTGAGTTTTTGTGTGGCAGTGGTGAGTGCAGTGGAAGCCAGAGTGTCATCAGTTCAAGTCCGTCAGCGTCGGCGAAACGAATTGAATCAACCAAGTCAATAATGAATGTAAATAAAACAAATTACCTTGTAACCTCGTTCTCTGGTAATCCAGTAACTTTCGCGTTATCACCACGTCACCAATCGTGTGGCCGGCCACAGTGTTGCAACAGTTCCATGCACTCACTTTAACCGAAGTAAGGTAGGTTACTGAGGTCCGATAAGTCGAGAGTCGCGAGTAAGGCGAAGTGGCGCTTTTGACCCTGGGATAATCGCGCGATAGTCGTCGCCTTCACCGTAGTGGCCCGATTGCTGCAGGCTGCGAGATGCTGCGGCTGCAGCCGTGCTCACAAACAGATAGATATGCCCTCAATGCATCTGTACATATGTTTTCAAGGACAGCGGCAATTATATGGGCGGCGCAATGGACCGAGCCGACTTGCCACGCCACTGACTTCGTTCACCAGTTTTAGCTCGGCCCGAAATTTCGAAACGACCGACCAGTTTCGACTTACTTTTTCATCTCGCCCACTCGCCCCCATTCGATCAACGTGAAAAACCAACTCGCCTGCTAAACGCGAAGAAGACGAAGTTTGTCCTGCAAATCTCGCAATTTTAGATATGAATCTGTGGGCTTGAAAAGAACCGTTTTGAAATTTAGACCACTCAAAAATCCGCATATTCCATATTGGTGTAGATTTT